TGCAGAAGGGCCGTCGGAGGAGACTGAGAAAGCTGTCAGGTAGGGGAACTAAAAGCAGGAGAGATGGTCATTGAGCTGTCAAATGCTGCTGATAGGTCAAGTAAGATAAAGACAAACAGATCATTGGTATCTGAGGGACTGCGTGCCAGAGAGGAGAATAATGAGAGCAAAAGGCCCAAATCAGGAACAATGTGGTGTGCTGGGGCATACGGGGCAGGGTTGAGATGGGAGGGTGGACAAGAGTCAGCTTCTGAAGGGCGTGGCATTCCATGTTAAACACTTAGATTTTATGCTGTGGGTTTGGGGAAGCCACTCAGAGGATTTAGGCAGAAAAGTGATGCAGTCAAATTTGCATTTTAGACAGATCATTCTGGATGCTTGGGAAGGGTGGTGAGGATAGAGGATGGAACTGAGCCAAACCGAAACAAGGGGCTCAAGGAAGTGGAGTTTGTAGCAGGAGAGGGTCAGAAGCAGTGAAAGTGTGCATTTCAGCCATGGATGTGGGGATGGAGAAGAGAGAGTTAATTAGGAATATTTAGGAGGCAGAATTCTCAAAACCTGGAAACCAATGGAATTGGGGGAGTGAGAGAGGTAGAGGAATTAAGCTTGGGTATCAGACTGCATAGAAAGTGGGGTACCAGCCTGAAATACAGAAATTAAGGGCCAAAACAGTTTGGGAGTGAAGAGATTGTCACATTTGAACATATCATGTTTGAGGTGTTCATGGGAGAGGTAGGTGGAGGCGTCTGGAAAACAGTTGGATATTCAGGTGTAAAAACCAAGGGAGAAGATTTGCACATAGAAAACTATAGCAATGTGGTTACAGTCACATAAATCTTTAAAGAGTCATATGAAGGCCGGGCGCGGTGGCTCAAGCCTGTAATCCCAGCACTTTGGGAGGCCGAGGCGGGTGGATCACAAGGTCAAGAGATCGAGACCATCCTGGTCAACATGGTGAAACCCCGTCTCTACTAAAAATACAAAACATTAGCTGGGCATGGTGGTGCGTGCCTGTAATCCCAGCTACTCAGGAGGCTGAGGCAGGAGAATTGCCTGAACCCAGGAGGCAGAGGTTGCGGTGAGCCGAGATCGCGCCATTGCACTCCAGCCTGGGTAACAAGAGTGAAACTCCGTCTCAAAAAAAAAAAAAAAAAAGAGTCATATGAAAAGTCTCAACCAGTTTATATGTCCCAGCTTTCAGCTTTCTTTTTTCTTTTTTTTTTCACTCTGTCACCCAGGTTGGAGTGCAATGGCGCAATCTCGGCTCACTGCAACTTCTGCCTCCTGGGTTCAAGCAATTCTGCCTCAGCCTCCCAAGTAGCTGGGACTATAGGTGCCTGCTGCCACACCCAGCTAATTTTTGTGTTTTTAGTAGGTATGGGGTTTCACCATATTGGCCAGGCTGGTCCTGAACTCCTGACCTTGTGATCCACCTGCCTCCACCTCCCAAAGGGCTGGGATTACAGGCGTGAGCCACCAAACCTGACCTATGTCCCACCTTTCTAAAAAAAAAAAAAAAAAAAAAACTAATCGTCAATTTCCACTTTAAAAAATTAATAATTCTTGGAGAACTTTGTATGTTTTAATCTGTTTGCATCAAGAGTTCTTGGGTCTGTTAATGTAATTTGAAGGTATTTAGTAGTTTAGTCATCTAAATCAGAAAATGTTTGGCTTCTGAATTAACTTCTTATATTGATGATTATACCAGTGCAGATAGCAGTAGGATGGTCTTACCAAATAATCACCCTTTATTATTGCAGGGTAAACCAATTAGACTAATGATACTGAGTCTGGCTGCACATTAGTACCACCTGGGGAGTATTTCAAACATACTAATAAACATCTCTAATAATCAGAGAAATGTAAATTGAAACCACAATGAGCTGTCACCTCGCTCATGTTACACTGGCTCTTATCAAAAAGATGAGTGACGGCAAGAGTTGGTTAGGATATGTAGAAAATGGAAACGTTCCTAGGTGCAGTGGTTCATGCCTGTAATCCCAGCACTTTGGTAGGTCAAGGCAGGTGGATCTCTTGAGCTCAAGAGTTTGAGACCAGCCTGGGCAACATGACAAAACCCTGTCTCTACAAAGAATACAAAAATTAGCCAGAGTGGGGGGCCGGGCGCGGTGGCTCA